TTATTCGCGTAGTTACCGCGATTCTTTTTCTCGCGTGATGTTTTATTATTATGAAAAAATCAAGCGATATTTTTCCGTCAGTGCGAAAACTTGAATAACATTCAGTGTGTTACAAAAAGCGAGAAATAATTCGAGCGAATTAAAATCGCTGTGCGGATAGAGCCTTAGGGACCTAGCTCGTTTATCTCGCTGCATTACCTACTTATTTAAAAAATATTGATTTGATTTTGTTCATCGGGGAGTTCTACACGAAATTAGATGATCTTCAAATTTCGTGGCTAACCTGTAAGACAACCTTGCAGCTGATTTCCTGTTTGTGTTGATTATATTATAATAGCCACTATAATAATAATTGTCATAAATTTCATCATAAACGGTCGGTCAGAATCAACGTGTGTGGCGCTAATGATAAGCGGGAAACATTAAAATCAACTACAAGTCAGATTGTATCTTATGTGATTTGGTAAAAAAAAAATATTTAAGGGCAGAACACACCGCCTCAGTATGCAGGACGTTTATGTGCGCGTTATCACGCGCGTACCTACCTATGGGATTGTATGAGAGGTGACGCACTGCCTGCGTATGCGTGTACGTCATCACGCGCGTACCGGTGTGCCTTGCCTCATACAATCCAATGCATTACAACGTCATAGTTCCGCGCGTGATTGATGACGTGCACGTCACGCATACGGAAGCGGTGTATTCTACCCGGTAGTTTAGAAATATCGTCGGCAAATTATCTAGGTACAAAACATCTAAGTCCAAACAATAACACGAAGAAGAAATTAGATCAGTTAAAATTATTATAAGTAGGTGCCTACCCATATCATACTAGCTGAACCACAGAATACATAAGAGTACTGAACAAACAGATATAAAGAAACGTGTAGAATGTTACTATAGGTCCTGGCTCTTAAACTCATTGCTCAGTCAAGTTTTCAATTTGTTCTTACAAGATTACATTAGTAGCTTAGTAGTTATTATATTTATTTTTTATATACCTATTGCCAAAAACCTTCGTTCACGGTAAACATCTCCAACCGAGAAGGTCAAATGATCGGAGGCGCTCGAAGATCGATATTTATAATTATAGCTAAAAGTATTTTAAACCGGTAAGGACGCAAGTTTTAAGATTTAATGAAGCCGACATTAATTTTACCTTTTAATTTGCAACCCTTTTAATTTGAGTTAGAAGGGATACGGCTGAAAGGGCATCAGGGTAAATTGTATAATGCGGGAAAAGGATATATAAACTTTTAGGTACGAATAGGTACCTTTTTACGTGTATGTCTGTGAAATTTGGGTAAAATCCAACAGAGCGCTCTTACGTATATTTAACATAAAGGATTAGTTAGAATTTTTAATTATTAAGTATTTACACTTTTATTGATCGAACTGTTCTAAGAACAATTTTTAGGGTACCGTATTGAAACAGGTAAACATGGGGTCAAATTTTTTGTCCGTACTAATTACTACTTTCAGAGGGGTATCACCACTATGTGATACCTGTCATATCTCTTTAAAATAAATAAACGTACCTAATTAATTTTTTTAATGCTGTTGGGACGCCATATTTTTTTTATCATTTATCAGATTCTTCAATAACAAACTCAAGTTGGTGCAGTAGTAGATACCAATCAAGGTAGATCCTTTCAACGGGTAAGTTGAGGTGCTGCTGATACTACTTTACTCGAATGACTATATTAATTATAACGAGTCGCCATGGGACTGCTTCCATTTCATCCAATGAATAATTTTTATGAGCTCAAATGTCAATTGAAGTAAGTATTTAGGTCGGTGTTGTTTTCTCACTAGGTTTGTGTCATGTAATAACGTAAACTTGCCTGATAGCTCAATTGGTAGGCAACCAATTATCACGCACGATGCCTGCTGCGACTAAGGTCGCGGGTTCTATAAAGGTCTTTAGTTATATTCGTAGATGTGTCTATAGGAATCGCAGGTACTGACATATTGCGTGTCTCATCGTCCGAATAAAAATACCTAGTACCTATTTCAGATAGGATATGTCGTAGTATTTGTTTTACTAATTACTCAATTTCAGATTGTTTGAATGAATATTGCGATCAGACTGAATTAGTAACAACTACTTTCTACAAAGTTAGTAAGTAATTGTAATAACATATCATGTCATAAATTGTCGTCGCTTTTGAATGCCATCATATCGCGCACGGACTACCTATATAGGGACCTACTAGGTACCTTACACGCAGGTGGGTTTCGATCTCCAATGGTAACGCATCGCTTCGTGCAGTTCACGAGCTGAGCCTTGGCTGGAGTGCAGTCTGATTCTCACGGTCTGATCCCTAGATGGAGCTCAATACCTAGAACGTTACAATGGCCTCCATTGATCCGAGCTCTCGAACGCCTTGAGTGTACAGCGCTGCTATCGGCGCGTGGGCCACATCCTGCGGTGTTAGTTGCGGTATGAAATTAAATTAATTTTAGCGTAGTACCTCGCTCGCGTGTTGGCGGTGAATGGTGAAAGGAATAGGCTGAAACTGAAAAAAAAAAAGTAGAATCCTAACAGTCCTATAAAAGGCGCCCCGTGCGCCGTCTCCCCAATTTGTTCACAGAAAAATCAAAGATAGAGAAAAGAGCAACATGAATCGAAGTCGAAAGATAAAAAGGGGTCGAAATAGAGTGAACGATCTACATACCCGTTACTTCTGATGACGCTACCTCCTCTTTCGACAACAAGTCTACGTTGACGAATGTAAAGCAAATTTTCTGCGTGTGCGCAGTGTGACATGACATAAGTCACGGCCTCACGGCATACCAAAACCTACATAGTAGGTATCTGTACATACTAGCTATATTACACAGTCAATGTCTGAGATAGGAATAACATCGTAATTATCGCCGAGCTTGGGCAATGTGGAATCTGGTTTTGCCGATTCACTTGGGTCTGCACATTAGTATAGGTACCTAAGTATGCAAACACAGAATAATACCTAGACGTAAACATAAAAATATTGCGCAAGTTACCTAGTTGAGGACATCAAATATTTGTCTTCAGTTTTGTCATTACATTACATTGCGGATTATCAACTTAGGTATATTGGATTTTCTTTGGATTTTTAAGAATAACTAGTATATACTCGTAAGTTGATCCCTTAAACGGTAAGGTTGATGTGCTGGCGATGTGCTAGCGTGTATTGCAGTTGCTTATTCTAGTCTGTAAGGGTATAATGTATTTGTCTAGGTAGCTCTAGGTGAAAAATATTATCTTTTTATAAAATGTTTAAACATGCTTACATAACATGCTTGTAAATGCATATAGAACGCGTGGTTTAAAGGAACGCACTGCTTTTCCCAACACCCTACACCCAAAATTTTAGATACCTATGATGAGATGACAAATCGTGCGTAGGTACAACATTCATGTCATATTCAATCCAGCGTCACACACGAAAAGAGAGAAAAATACCAAAATTCCGTAAATTGACTAGGTACCTACCTACCCACATAATTAAATGCAGGTTTGTTTCGTTTCGACCGTACGCGAACGCTTGGCTTGATTTTCAGACATTCTTTGTTTTCGTTTACGCATCCTTTGCTTTCAGTCAGGTTAATGTAGTATGTCGGTAGGTACTTAACTTACCCTTTTCATAACATAATGAGGTCTGCTTTCTTTCTTCTCCGTTTCAAAGTAATACACGTTTCAGTAATGTCTAAATGTAACGACAGTGTATTTATAATTTTAGGGTACCTACCGAGCTATTTTATAGACTCCTTAAAATTTTTTTTTTCTCTATGCTCCGTGCTGCACTATGTTTTTCCGACATATAATTTAACAATTGAACAAAAACCGACATTATCCATCATTGACATTTTCCATCTTAAAGGATTGCGCTAGCCAATACTTACTTTGTGGTAGTAACAAGAGTTAAAATTTATCTTTTAACTATGGTATGGTATGTTTGTCTACGGAGCTCCAAATATCACGTGTCCGACACGTTCTTGGTCAGTCTTTAAGGATGCAGTAGGTAGCGCGGCATACCCTGAGCACTGAATACTAATATGTATCTGCCCGCGAGCGTGACTCACTGGTGATACCTATAGGTACCACAACACAATGTTATTCCAAGAAGTTTGTAGGAAAATATCTCCAGTAAATGTTAATCTCTTTTGTTTGTGTTTAATTACAAAATACCTACCTACTATCTGATCCTTGGATTATGAACCCAGACCTCGAAGGTTCAATTTCCACAAAAAACAATACTGTACTTAGTTAGGGCAACAAATGTTACCTTACGCGTAATAATAACATACCCCAAGGTGAAATAAGTTAGAAGATAGGTACCTATCTATGTCATGTCATTAGATATTCAAAAATGAAAATGGGTTCTTCGCCATTTCTAGTCAATTTAGTCGTTATCGTTTTATTTGTCGTTTGACAGATAACGTGTAGCCTCTGGCTGCTCAGTTGGGTGGGACTGGTGGGAGGCGGCAAACGAAAGTGTATGGGGATGAAAACAGGCAGGTATTGGTGATGATTCTTTTTATTGTCGTAAGGGGAAACCCTATAATGAAATTATACAATGAGTATAGATGGACATTGCAGACGAGGATTGAGATGTGAACATGGATGATGAGGAATAGTACATACTCACTGGATTTGTTTCTAAACATAATATCTACTTTAAACTTTCACATTTCACAAAGATATAGTTAAATCAACTTGTGCTATAAAATGAAAGACTGAAGAAAAATTAAAGGGATAGGTAACGTGATATGGAACGATGAAATTCAAAATGTTATGGCTATTGAAAGAATAATAAAAATAAGTGGGTGATGGCATAGTACCTAGATAACTAGATACTATGTTACAAACGCGCATTGTTTGTTAAATTATACTTGAGACAAAACAAGAGAGTAAATTATAACAAAATTTTATAGTCCTGTCTTGATTATATCCTATCCTTTTCTAACCCTATTTGACGAAATAAATTAAAAATGAGAAAATTGAAAAATTCACTAGCGACCGCGGGGAATTGAACCCGGGACCGTGTGGTACCGTCTCACTGCTCTGTCAACTGAGCTACGGGCGCCTGGCGGACCCTGGTGAATTTCTCAACCTGTTAATGCTCGTCTCGAAGCAACGATTAACGACATCTAATAGGTAGTAGTTTTAACAACTAAATACTTTGGTTAGTCCACTTTACAGTAGGAATTCAAACCATATGATGAATCTATTGGGATTGTAATGCACTCACAGTGCTATATTATTCTCACAAGTGAAAATAAGAAATAGAAAATATGACATGCATCGACCGGGAAATAGAAAATATGATGAAGCTTTGTGCTTGAAGCAATGTATTGGGATTTTTAATGCAATACCTAAATTCTCATAAATTGAAAATGAGAAAATTGTAAATTCACTAGCGACCGCCGGGACTTGAACCCGGAACCGTGGAGTATTATTTGATGAAACATAAATGAGTATTATGTGACAGCACTGTCCGCACTACTTTTCTCGTTTTCTCGAATCGCTGTGACTATTTCACAACTTTGACAAGTCACGGCAATACCTAATCTGTTAACGAAACGACTAGTAAATAATCGTCCACTAGAAGCCTCTTAACAAGGTTATACGCTTAAATACCTATTCAAGTAAGTAAATATCTTTAATGCAAAAGCAAATACACACCTACCTTAATATTAGGTAGGTATATGTATGTACATAGGTAGGACCCCAAAATAAAAAGGCCTTAGGCAATTTAATTACTTACTTCTACGCTTATACATCCGTGATGATGATGACACGAGTTAAATAAATCTATCTGGCTGGATTGCCGCTGTGAGGATTACCAATTCCTGCATAAAAATTGCCCTATCTGTCAAAACTATGATTTTCAATCGAAGAATGTCGCAGTCGGTTAAAGTGATATCGTAGCGGATATGATATACCTATTTCCCGTTTAATTAAGACTTTTTACGCGATGTAAATTATTTCAGTTAGGTATTAGGCAGGGATTTAGTCCACCTCTGTACAAAACTGAATTTGAATCTTTATGCCGAGAAACAGAGGTAACGCCCGTTTGTGCGTTATTTTTGCGCTGCGTTACGCATGTGTTGGAACAATACGTATTTCGAACTTATTCTCATACAAATATGGTTTATGTATGGTTTATGGAGAGACTCATCCGTCGATGAAGCGTTGTGCTATATTATTGCGCTAGCGGATTCGTCGGTCAAACCCTTTTTACATAAACCGTATTTGTATAAAAATATGGTGGAAAATCGTATTTTACAAACGCAACGCTTTGCGCCAAAATAACGCAACAAACGGGCGTTACGAGTGTTTCTCGTCTAATCGTCCGCCGTGTTATAAAAAAACAGCTTAACTGACAGTAATTCTTCCTCGTCGCGCCTGATTAGCATAATCACTCGACAGTTTCTTTTATCATATTGAAAAACAATGACACTAATTCATTCACAATCGTTATCGTTGATGTTTGAGAGATTATGTTCTTGTTGCTTTGTTTTGAGACCAAATATACTAACTAACCTAAGTTGCTGGCTGATGTCATTATGACTCAGTGTTACAGTGAAGTGTTCTAAGAGGATAGGAAAAATATTGCGCACATTTATCAAATCGTACCCTAAACAAGAATAGAAATATGCAATAGTACTCGTAGATCGTGCAAATTACGCGTTTTGAGTGAACATTTTTGAGCTATGATGTTTTGAAATTTAGGTGGTTAACTATTGAACCATTTAGGTACCCTATGTATGCCTCAGAATAAGGGTTATGATTTTCCGGAGTATGTAGGTATATATGAGAGTATGTACGGTATGTAAGTATTGGACAAATTAAAATCTTTTTATCACGTTCTACCTATGGTCCAAATGGCTGAACGGATGGTGAGTGGTGACATAGATTTGTCGCAGCAAGTCAAGTGACACTGGTAAAATTTTGACAATTCAAAAAAACTGATTTTAATCGAAAAAAATAGCGTTGAAGTTACCGCATTCGGATATGCTTGTACTTTTAATTTTCGCAAATAGAATCTAGTTTCACAGAGGTTAAGCTGTAGTTAGCATTCAGCTACTTTTTGTACCAGATTGAAGATTACAGAATTATATTGCTTTATCGAGCAAGCTAATCTTCACTGGGTTTAGTTCGGCACTTGGGTGGTCCAGTTGAACCATGGAACGCCGTTTAAGTGCCAAGACGACATGAAATCAATTAACAGAGGAGAATGCAAATAAACTTGGCGTGTGACAGAATGTAGCTGAAGAGAGCTGAAGATTCCAATCAGCGCAGCTATACAAATCTGTTTTAGTATAACTTGCGTGGATATAGAATGGAATGGTTGCCGAATTGGCAACAATGTTGTCGACATCCTGCTCATACCTATGTCATTCATATAATTTATGATAGAGGCAAACACTAATGTTGCCAATTCGTGTCCTTTCTTTATCCGCGCTATTTATACTACTTAGGTAGGTACTACTCCTACTACAACACTTATTTTTTAGTTAAAGTAATATGTAATAATTTTTAAGTAATAATGCTTACAAAATATACACATTTAAAAAAATATTATAATTTTTTATATCGAAAGGTTATCAAGGCAATTGGCTGAGTGTTGTTCCGCTCTGCCTACCCTGCATGCAACAAAGGCGTGATATAAAGGTATCTGTATATATTTTTTGTAATATAAAGCGTAGAAAATCGACCAGGCTATGTTTTGAGTTACGTAGACCTCTAAGCCACAGTTTAAGAGTGTTACAGCATGTTTGGATACTTAATGTGATGATTTACCGAAATTCTCACTTTCTAACGTGTCTCTGGGCGAATTGTGCTCGGTGCGACGACAAACTAAGATGACCACTCTTTCGTAAAGCAAATAAAGGTAATGGACGCGCTAGTGTTTGCACATTACATGGGAGAGCGAACGAATGTACTCGACCCGGAGAAACTACCAATTTTTGTACTTGTGAAAATGGTTATATTCCGTGTGGTGCCAATGATATCCATTGCCGTAAAAATTAAACCTAACGTAACCTGATCTATCTTTTGCCATGTGGTGCCGGCTTAGAATAGCATCACCTCACCCCCTCTCTTAACCGTGGGTGTCGTAAGAAGCGACAAAGGGATTTACGAGTTGATTTGGGCTACAGGCTGACAACCTATCACAATGGTGATAGGTACACAGTCATCAGAATGTCTCTCATTGTCAGATACATATTATGATTTCCTACAGCCGTTAACGCTCTGCCTACCCCACAACGGATATAGGCGTGATATATAACTGCATGTAAGTATGTTATTTTCCTGGCATTAGGCGGGAATCATACGTAACTTCCGTTGCTACGCTATTTTAGCGCTGTGTAACGCATGTGTTAGGTAGGACAATACGAATTACCACCTTAATTCCATACAAATACTGTTTACTATGTCAAATAAAACGGTTTGACAGGCGCATTTGCTAGCGTTGCCTATCGCACAACGCTGCGTCGACGGTATGGTAACAAAACTTAACTATTGGATTCTTTCCTATACCTAGGTAACATTTGGTATTATGATCTAGAAATAGATAATATTTATGCCACGTACTTACTGCCTACCTAGTAACTACTTAAGTTAGTAAATTAATAGCAAGACACATCATAATCTGTCCAATTTTATAGTATGTTTGGAACATTATCTCCCTAATCAATTTTCTCATAAGCTCATATTACAACTATTGCCCTTAAACGCTAACCTACTGTGAACAAATTAATGTTATTTCTATTAAATAAACCCACCAGCCTGCAATTATAAGTTGTACATGTAACTAATTATTAGATAGATACTAAATACATGTCTGGCTAATGAAATGTTACTAATCGATATTTTTATTACATAGAATTATGATTAAAATACAGTATTTTGTAACGTTCAGACAATTTATATCGTTATCAAAATATTATGGTTGGAATTGTTCGTAAAGTGAGCAGAAACCTGTTTCAAGAATGTGGTATGGCGACCTTTGACAAAGTCAACCCAGTAATGCGTACCTACCTAAATAATGTAGTCATGACTTGCGAGCAAAACTCTGCGTTAGCTGGTCTCCTTAATGGAAGGCCCACTGGACACATTCGCTGTGCTGTAAGTAGGCCTCGATTCACGCGTACAATTTTTCTAGCTAATAATAATAAGATAAAAATATCCAATAACTACCTTATGATATTCTTGTTACTTTGTGAAAATTAAGCAAAAGAAATGATTATACAAATAAACAGGACAGGAAATGCTTCCAGTCTAAAGATTAATCCATTAAAATCTGCATTTATATACTGAACCACAGACTGCGCTCACATTAATTGCAAATATTCAGACTTCTTACGTCACTTAGTAGGAGAATAGGTGTAACTCGATTTTTAAAAAGAAGCCGTATTTATTGCAGCAGTAGCTCCATCTATTTTCGTAAAATGGCTAATCAGTTTTTACGGGGGAAAATGATGGCTAATAAAATATATTTAGTATTTTTCGAAAATGTTATATAACCACGAGACTCCAGGTTATAAATCCAGATTTTGTATCTTCTACAGGAGTTAGTCCATTAAATTTTTGTATCCGTGAATAACTTACAAAAACGTACTGCAGATTCGAGTCTGTTGGTCAAACAAACAAGCAGAAGTGTAGACACAGTGGCACACAGGCAGGATAATGTAAATACTAACTCGAGGGGTAGGTACGTACTAGGATTATGCGGCATAATTTATGCCTATATTTACACATATACGCGGATGTTAGAAAAATTGCACAAAATAAACTTTTATTATACGCTTTTTATAAAACGAAAAAAATAGGACTTGTCCCGAATCCGAAAGCCTATGATTAGGTTAACGAATTTTGAAAAAAGAAACTTACTAGTGTACAGAGTTAAATCGTAGATAATATCTACTACGAACATAATTCTATTCTATTGCACTTGCTTGCTGATCTTTTATGATGATGTAGGTAGGTAATGAAAAGGTTTGCCATATTTATAAAAAACACAAGATAACTTTATTTAGTAAATGATACGCTAAACGGTGCCCTTTGGCCTTTGATACC